GACTTATTAGCTAGTGCCACTGAGTGAGATACAAGTGTTTTCAAGCCAACAGGCTCCAGAGCTTTGAAACGTAAAACAAACATCAGTATTAGCCTGAGACATGAAACACTGGATTAAAAACCGGTCCAGTTCCTGATTCAAATTGCAGCAAGCAAAGTTTAGGTTAGATATAATGGAAAACTAGGAGGGTAATAAAGTACTGGGACAGGCTACCCAGAGAGGAGGTGGAATCTCCATCCCTAGAGGTTTTTAAGACCCAGATAGACAAAGTCCTGGCTGGGGTATACTGGGGCTGGTCCTGTTTTGAGCAGGGGGTTGCACTAGATGTGACCTCCTGAGGTCCCTTCAACCCTCATTTTCTATGATTTAGCACATGATCTGCTAGGTGTGCCCTTGGCCAAGTCCTTTCATCTCAGTGTGCTTTGTTTCTCCTCCCATGTTAAGTGAGGTCCTCAGGACAGCCACAGTAACTATGCATTTATGCAGAACTACCTACATGAACAGCGTAAACAGACCCTGACTGCAGCTGCTGCCCCTGGGTTACTGCAATACCAGTAATTTTTGTTTAAAAAGGAAAGATGTCAAGAACAGTATGCACTGAAGATCAAGGGGAAAAAAAAAAAATCAAACCAGGATGTAGATTTCTACCACCAAAAATGTCAAAACTATGGTTGAGTAGTGCACTTCCTGAATTCAGGACTCCATCAGCTAATCACTCCTTGATCCAAAGGTTTCTTTTCAACAAATGCTTCCCAAAAGTGCACCAAAGCAGGCCAGTCCTCAACCAGTAAACCTCAGCAATAGCCAGACTTCACCTAGCCTTCCTCCCCCTCATTATGCTTGAATACACAAAAGCTTCTAACATCAGCCGTGAGAGGTAAACCTGTCTTCTGTGATGTGTGAGGCTCCAGGCTATGATGCAGACTGCTATCCTTGGCCTTTTCATCTTACCCAGGTCGTGTGTCGTGCAGCTAAGAGAAGGGGTAAGGATTACTCCTACTTTCCTGCATCCCTTTGCAAGTAGCAACACCTTCTCACCACCCGCACGTGAAGGAATGTTGTTACCCTGGAACAGGAATGAACACGAGCACCCCCGCCAGTGGTTACGGTCCCGGGGCGATTTTAGAACAGGAGTGCTCCTGTCTGTGCTAAACTACAGTGGCTTAGTTTCTTGGTGAGAAGGAGTTAAAACAATGGAGGTTTATTTAGTCCACTGTGTTCAGCACCAGCAACCAGTCAGACAAGCTCCGATTTCAAAATCTTTTCTTATGAAACATGCAGACTAAACAACTGCGCTCTCTTCCAGTAGCACACAGAGCCCCTGTCAGGACTGAAGCACTCTACACAGAAATGCAAGGGGACTAATCCTGCTCCTCATTTAAGTCCATGGGCATTGGCTTCAGTAGAGTCAAGCAAAGGCCCAATTCCCTCTGCCACTGGCCCTCTAGCAACACATCTGCTCCAGCAGAGATGGGCAGAGCATTGCTAAGTTGGCTTTGACTAATTATCACTATGAGACCAAAGTGCTGAGAGAGACTGCATCTGGGTTGGCCTGAGCAGAAACGCGAGAGAGTCACTGATGGATAATGAAATCCTTCGGCTTTCGACACTTTGAGATGAAAGTGCATCATCCTTTTTAAGCAGGACTGATGTTCTGTAATAAAAGCAAAAGTGAAGCCTCACCTGTGAGAAGCTGCCTTCTTTGGTGCAAATTCATAGTCCTCTGGGTACCAGCGTCTGTATATGGAAGAAATTGATTTTAAGGCTATAAATCAAATTTTAAATATATACCAGGGTGCCTCACTGGGTTTGCTAAAAATGGATGCAAGAATTTGGGTTGGATCGGTATTCAGAAAAGTCACAACTACAAGCATCAAAATAACATAATCTGCAAAAGCTAAATGCCTCCCCTCCTTTACGTGCAACTCATGAAACAGACTGCGGTACTTTGTGTGTGGTGCGAGTGGAGTATACAAACGAGCTAAATCAGCGTCCAGTCTTCTGCCCAAATAACCCTCTTCCTTTGTTTTAGAAGACTAAATGAATCCCACTTTACAGATCTCTCCTTACACCCATTTAACTTTGTGTGTAGTATTTACCTGCAAAGTTCCTTGACGGTGCTCACATCAATAATCCTATAATGAAGATGCCTCATGAATTGAGGCATGTATTTGTCAAGGAATTTCTTATCTGCATGAACAGAGTTTCCTAGAAAGACATAAAACAGGTATTTCTTTCAAGAAAGTACAAAGCTACGTTAAATGACATCTGAACTAGAAACAGGCTAGGCAAGCTGGGGAAGGTTTCTAAGTTTTGTGTTCTAGTAAATATGATTTTAAAGGTTTTTGTCAGATTTGCTTATTAGGGAGCACTTGTGTGAGTTTCAAATGTATAATCACTCCACATTAAATTCTTCAATTACTTTCTCTGCATGACACAGTAGCTGTAAATAGATGGCTCAATAAAAGTGCCAAACGTTATACAAACGCCAGGTTTTTCACCAAAGGGCAAAAAAGCCTTCCTATGAACATATTTCACTTGGATCATATGACTTTGACCCCTATGTGTCTGAGTAACAGGACATTTGGAACGTAGCTTTTGGCCCTTGGTTTGATTCATATCCATGAGGGGGTGGGGAAGGTGCCTGTGCCAGGATACTGTTTATAGTCTGCATTCACCAATTGCTATCAACAGTAAGTCATGCCAGTACTAACATAACCATATAATGAAGCATTAGCGCTAACAGAAATTTAAGATTCCTGCATAATTTCTATGCAGTATTTGCTTTAGGCAATTTATGGATGGTTTGACACCCAGTGCTGAACTCTCTCTTAGTAAATGAAACTCGATTTGCCTGCAGGAAGGAGGAGGCTAAAGCACCCCTGCCACGTAGGTTAACAGGCCTTCTGAAGCCCAGCTGGGAGCTGCAGAAGGGATGATGTTATTAGCATTAAAAATAAGTACATATTTTACCTGCAAGAGGACAGAGGCCAGGGGGTGTTTGCTGTCGTACAAAGGACAGAAATTCATACTCTGCCTGCTGCAGTGAAATTGTACTTTCCTTCACAGCCTTAGTAAGGCCCGACTGCAAGAAAGAGCCATCCAACAGAAATCAAATATGTACCACTACTAAAAAATACTTGTAGCAAGTCTATACAGCAAACTATCTACCAACCCAATGTTATTTATACGTCAATATAGCCTACAGCATTAAGAAAAAAAATACAACTCAGCTCCTGTACTGCGCCCTCTGGAAGATCTCAACATTTCGTTACCTATTTCAGTAGTGACTAAGGATAGATTTCAATGCATTTACTCATGCTGAATAGTATCCTACTCTACAATCCCACTGACTTCCGTGGGATGACTGCTTATAGTGTATGGCACTGTACGTTATTGCTACAGATGCATCCAACTTGGACCACAGCAGATAAACCTCCGTGATATTTTTCCACCTGCTATTTTATGGGGGATGGAGTAGCCCCCAGTTACTTGGACTTTGTACAGAGCTTTATGTACATAAATGTATGTATTCCAGCAGAACGTTTAAATAGCTTTGTATCTATTTAACAAGAGGCACTTGCTAGTTTACAACACGGATTATTTATTGTATTGTATCAGTGCAGTTAATGGTCTGCAAGCATTTCGGCAATAACCCCTGCTTTCAGGATTTCACAACACGCGGCTAGATGTCTGCAGACTGCTCTCAGGGATGATTTTTGTTGTTGTTTCTTTAATCCAACCTTGAAAAATATAAATTGATATTTCTAAGTTACCAAACTGCAAATAAACACAGAAGAGGTAATCTATGACATCCATCCTTTCAGATCTGCTTTAAGAGGTCCCCAAAGATTTATTTCCATCTGGCTGTGCTGCATATTTCCATGCCGTGCTACAAAAGACTACTTGGTAGACCCAAGTGGTGCTTAAAAATTTCATTGTGTGCTTGTAGTTTCCTCTGTGCTGTAATTTTATCTTTCTTTAGCCAATTAAAATAAGTAGCTCTTCACAAACAGAGATGACTTGTGCTTCCATCTCCAATTCACCGGAGAAGCAGAGCTGTGTTTGGATTCTAAACTCGAAGAGAAAAGGATCTACTTTACGACTTCCTTTTTGTTTCCCAAGTTCCCACTAATCTCTCCCACAGAAAGAAAGATGCCCAAGAGGGATTTATGGGTGTTTTATAACTCCATCGCTTAATCGAAAACTACCTTGAATTTAAATTCATGATCAGGGCTTGGAAAATCCATTCACTTTCTTGCCATTGGCAAGGAAGAAGCTTTCCCTGGTGAGTGAGAGCGCTAAAATAATCTATTTCTGCAAAATTTAAGCTTTCAATGAAAAATAAATTAGGTTTCCAGCCTTTGGGGATGGGGAAAAATAACCAGCCAAATATCAGCTTCTTGTAAATTGGCACAATGCTGTTTTCCTCAGTCGATTAGGGCTAGATCCACAAAAGAACTCAGGCCCCTCGGTCCAAGTAGACCATCCTCAAAACCCCTATTTAACCTCACTACTGACTACGTTTTTACAGTAAAGTTCGCTACGTGGGTTTTGCTTCTGCTCATGTCCGGAATTGCCTTGGTTGGGTCAAACTTGAGCTGCTCAGTTCTTTTCTCATCCCCAACCCTCTGGCTAGGCGTTCCCCCGCCTCCCTGCGCTGTTGGCCTGATCCCGTGTGTGTGCTCAGCATGTACCTAACACCCTTACAGGACCAGGCTCCATGCAGTCACAGCGGGGGTTATAAGGAGTGGATGAAGGGACAAGAACTGAGCGTGACCGACTCGTGCCTAACACGAGGGCAACCTGGGATGTTATGGTCTAGCCTGAACAGTTACGTAAGCAATCGAAACCACGTAAGAAGTCCTTTGAGAGCAACTAGAACCCAGGTCTCGTTTTCAGAGGCAACTCTGATCTCTACCTTGAAATCTTTTATTAATTATAAAACAGCTTCATCAAGGGAGGGGTTGAGGATGGCCCCCACCTCAGCTGCGTGTGGTTAGGGCACTCTCAGCAAAGTGCAGAGATGTGCATCGGCCAGCCCCCCGCATCTCGCACGGCCTGGGTGAGTGCTTTATGGAGCAAACAGTTGCACGCAAGCTGAGCAGCACCACTCCCTCTCCCTTCAACCCTGTTTTACAAGAAGGCAGCAACTTCTCCGCAACTCGGGCACCTAGCACCAAGGGAGAGTCAGGGCTGTGAATCCTGACTCAAAGGGAGACACCCCACTCTCTCTTACACACTTTGTACTAGTTACCTCCAGAATCTCTCTGCTCGGCATGCTGACTGCTCTGAATTGCATTACGAAGCTTAACTCTTGCTGTGCATGGCCTAAGGTTGAGGCGTCTAATTCAGCACCTTAGATTCCCCGCCAGGGCCCAGACACCTAAACGTCAGATGGCGTGAGGGTGAGCTTTACGATGGCAAGTTTTTTGCATGGATCCAGCCCTTAGCATTAGCCTCAGCACTGCGAACCACACCAGATGTCGGTCGGTTTGTTTCAGAAGTGGCAAAGCCCACATCTGCTTCATTTTATTGCTTGAGGTTTCCCAACCCGCAGCAGCTGAGGAACATCTAGCCCATTCTCCATCCATCTGCCTTTGTGGTAGGTCTCCAGGCCAGACAATAGCAAATGGCCCTATTTCAGGTTACTGCTGAACAAAGTTGCTGGCGATAACGTATTTCAGGGCGGGCCTGCAGTTAACAAAGTTAACTGTGACGCTGGACTTCTGGATTCAACTCCAAGCTCTGCTGTGGTCTTCATGCAAGACCTTGGGGAAACGACGCAGTCTATTCGTACCTCCCTTCCCAGCCTGTCAAATGGAAATGATACGTCCTTTCCCCCCATCCTTTGTCTGCTTGTCCATTTACACTTTAAGCTCTTCCACACATAGGCACCCTCTCTGAAATACTTAAACAATCCTGAGATTATGAATATAAAGGTGGTTACACAGTTACAAGGAAGCACCAATTCTGGTGCTATTTCTCTGGAACCATTACCTTCCCGTGATGCTCTTTACACCACTCGGACATGCCATCCAACAGCTCGTCTGGCTGATTTATAATTAGATTGGGACCCTGTTGATGACAGAAAAAGAAGCAGTGCAATCAAAGCCTAAACAGCAGAATTATTCTAGAGTTTTACATCAGACAGCAAGAATCTGCGTCTTGCATGGACAGCTCTAGCTTTAAAAAGAAAATTACAAGACGACTACCCTCAGGTTGCTCCGCTCCTGCCCCCAGGTTGCTTTGTTCAGCAGTCTCACATGGCATGAAATGAGTCTCACTAGGATTAAACTTCCAGTGCTCGAACTACAGATTTTAGCTGAAATGCTCTTCCAGGCAACCTGATTGCTTTGACTCCCAAAAGGCCTTCTGACATGACATCGCCCTGTTTTACATAGGAAAAAATCGCTGGGGTTGGTGGCAGTTCAACGCTGAATAATAATTCAGCCTGAAATGTGGAAGTCGCATCACGTCCTTCTCTGTCCAAGCATCATCTCACCAGGTTCTCCATCTGAACCTTATTTAACAAGTTGTGATACATGAGCCGAGAGAAAACCCAGTTTCACTGCCAACATCGCGCCGATTCTGCAGGGCTCAGCTGCCAGAAAACCTTGTTCCTGTCATCACGGTATAAAAGCTACGACTTCTCCTGTGCAACGGGACAGCACATCTCCGTGTGGATACGTACGTCACGGTCATCTTCCTGGTTACAATCACCTTTAAATAACAATTTGAAGCAGCAGCTGGCAACAATTACAGTATTGAAAAGAATATGAAGGGACCCGATTCTACAGCTACTATATAAATAAATAAATAAATAAATAAATAATATGTGTGTGTGTGTGTGTATACACACACACACACACACACATATATACATACACAAATATGTGTAAGTATATATATGTGTGTGTGTGTATATGTGTGTGTGTGTGTGTGTGTGTGTGTGTGTATATATATATATTTTTTTTTTTTACAGCTTTTACAGAATTGGAAAAGCTTCCTTTTAAGTACACGGCTGGAGGGAAAAGGATAAAAAAAAAAGCTAATGAGGCAGTATTCAAATGTTTCCAGACATCAGTTGTTTGAAAACATTTTTTTTTCCTGTAGAAAAAATAAAACATTCAAACATAAACTTGGCGTTCTGCAGCAATTAAAAAAAAAAAAAAGCATTCGTATTAATTTCTAGGATTCGGCACATCTCCCTTTTGCATGGCTTTGAGTCACCTTCACATGTTTCAAGCCGAGGGCAAGCGAGGCCGTTTAAAGACGGCCACCACGGCACATAACGCACTTCAGGACCCAAAAAGCGCGCCATAAACGGCTGCCTGCCGGGTTGCGCTGCTCCACGGGGCCCGTCCCGCTCAGGCGAGTCGCCGGCACCCAGGTCCGGCGGCGATGAGAGCGGAAACGCCCGGCGTGGATTGAGCTGACACGCGTGACGTGAATCCGGGAGGTGCCATACGGGTCCCTACCTCGGCCAAGACGTTCAGGTCGGAGTCGGTGATGAGACACGCCATCTCGATGATGCGGTCCTTCTCGATGTCCAGACCCGTCATCTGCAACGCAAGGCAACGGGGAGTCTGGCGGGGGCGAGGACGGCCGCCGTGCACCGCTGGCGCAGCGTTGCGCTGTTGCGACTCTGGACGGGGCCCAGCATCACACCGCAGCGACTCTGGACGGGTCTCTGCCCCGCAGGAAGGCAATGGCGGTGCCTGGTGCTCAGCACCCCAGCCTCACCCCAGACCT